CCCCCCCCCCCCCCCGCCGCCGCCTCCGGGCCTTCTTAGGCCTAGCTGTATCAGGCCAGGAGGCTGCTGGGAGGCACTTGAACCAGAGTCTTTAAAAACCCCAACCCCCTTGAAGTCCAAGTATCTCTGGCTGATGCTCTAGCTCTAGGCTGAGCAGCCCCATGAGTCCTGCCCTCAGAGATGGCGGTGGTGTCCTGGCACCTGGGATAGCTTTGCTACCTGCACCCCCCCCCCCCAGGGCTGGTGGGGGTGGGGAAGGAAGGGCATCCTACCCAGCCTGTGTCTCACCCCTTCTTCTTACAGACATCCGGGACAGTGGTGCTAAGCCCGTCATGGTCTACATCCATGGAGGCTCTTACATGGAAGGGACAGGCAACATGATTGATGGCAGCGTCCTCGCCAGTTATGGCAACGTCATCGTCATCACCCTCAACTATCGGGTTGGGGTGCTAGGTATGGTTCCCTGCTAGGTGTCTAGGAGGAAGCCTGGGTTCTCAAGGAGGGAAGAAAGAATGCTGGACAGTCAAGAACAGGTGGCCTTGGTTTCCTAGCTGGTGCTAATGACCATAGTAAAAATGCTGTTATCCCATTACCCCTACCCAAGTACTGGGAGCTTCCCTATGTCCCCAGGCCCTTTCCTGGATGTTTAGTTCCCACTGGAAATTCAATTCAAACTTCACACCTTCTCTTAGGTCTTAAGCCAGGTCTTTGCTTCCAGACTTTTGCTTGGCTGAGTCTTATAGGGCCCATTAATTTTCTAGTGTCCTGTCCTCATCACTACCCACCCACCCACAATCTCTAAACACCCTGCACATACATAGGAATTCCTTCTAGCCAATCACATATCCACACATTCACATACCTTCACATGTTCACATATGCACACTGTCCTCATTCACCCCCATGCATATGGTGATTTCTCACTCATCCCCCCACAAGCACACTCACATATCCATACACATGTAGCCCCCACATCCACATATACAGATTTCTTCACATACACACACATCCCCCAGCACTCCATATACACTCCGCGCATGTAGTCTCAC